ATATATATAATATACTAGGTAGCATTAATTTTGTTTTAAATTCTAATATTTATGTTCTGCTACACGGTATTTGGTGAAGGTCAGTTGAAAGCAAATTTGTGAAAAGAGCAATACTATTCGCCTATTGGCTGCGCAATAACACATACACTTCGCAAGTGCAAATGTGAGAGAAAATATTATAGCACTTGGAGAGGACTCAAATATTTCTTCGTAAACTTATAGGACTCCTTAAGTCTGCCTGCTCACCCGTTTTTTGTATCTCCTTGACTTTATCCTCCGAAATATCCAAAAGGATGCCCAGTACCTTCTCTACCCGTATAATGGCAGTTAGTTGTGAGAGAAGAAATGAGTGTGAGAGTGCCAATAGCGCTGGACAGAGTATGACGATCTGTAAGGCGGTGTTTTGGTATTTGTGTGCAATCTCCTCACTGAAGGGACCATCTTCGATTTTGATGTGCAAAAAGCTGCAAAGAAACAAATGGAAATTTTATTTTTGTAAGAAGCAACACATGATGATGAGGAATGCTTTCGTTGCTTTCGTTTTAACTCACTTGAAAGGCTTGCGTCCACGCTGCTTTGTGATTTTGTCGAAATGATTCTTCAGGAAATTGGCGCGTAATATAGCGCGTTCGCTGTGCTTCGCCGTGATAATGAGTATGTCGTCCATATTGTAGGCGCCCGAGCTGTTGGATGATGAGTTGCTTACTGTGCCGCAGTTATCTGCAAAATGAAATGGAAATGGGAAGGAGAGGTTAGTTGAGGCACCTATTAACGCACACACTTACACTTAAGCGAATAACTTTGTATACAGGAATATTTACAAAATACACTCATGCATTTTCATACACATATACACACATATGTATATTTGTTTGCGAGGTGCTACGAATGTGTGAGTGCGAGCGACCAATCTATACATACATACATTCATAAATAATTTTAAGTTCGAAAATTATGCATTTGCGCAAGTGTACTAGAAACTCGAGGAGTTCACGTTGATAAGCTACTCTCACTATCCCCCCACACACACCAGAGCATAGGCACACGCAATCGCACTCACTCCAGGCGATAATTTATGTGTGTTGTTTACTTAGGATTTGTTATTGGCAATTTATAGGCAGACATTTGGTGGATATTGGTTGTAACTGCGCCTTTTTGTTATTTTTGCTATCATTTATTTGATTTCCAAGTGACAGCTACAAGACAGCAAATATGTCATGAAACCATTGATAGTCGGCTGTTTGACAGCGAAGACCCAAAAGCATAAACACCGACGTTGCTGATAGCAGATAGCAGCAGACAATGAGGAATCGTTCATATATCTTTCACTCAGCGGCCGCTGTCAAAGGCTTTTAGGCGATCAGTTGCATACGGCTTGCCAAACACTGCAATATTTTTGTAATTCCTCATTTGTTGCTTAAGAAATAGCGTGCACACAGCTTTAGGGTTTGATGTTAAGATCACAATTTCCTATTGACCCAGTTCTCAGAGATTTATTTAATACAATGGACAACTGCAATAACGCAGATTAAATAGAAAATTTATTGGCCATTACTGCTGAGCAGTTTGTCAGGTGCATCGCTCGATAGATATTGTTTCTACTTATACGTATATGTATATACAAACATATACACAGGCCTACGCAATTGCTCTAAAAACATAATTGAAATGAAAGTCTTGGGCTAGTACAATTTGCTCTGAGGCTCCAACGGTTGCAATTACTACATATAGTTGTTGTTATTTTTACGGTTGCACTTGTATTTGTCATCTGCAATGCAATTGTTGCTTTTGCCATTTTAATGCCAATGTTTTTCTTATATTTTCTTATTGCTGCTCTTATTACTAGGCCCTTCCCCTCTGCTTCAGTCACGTCATGTCTTTGTGGCGTCATAATTTTTTGAGACGTGTCTGTGCGGCTGCGAATTATATGTGGGGTTGTCCCCAAAAGAATTTTAGTCTTTTGTCTGCAGCACCGACTCGTCGACTTGTGCAGTTAAACGCTCAAGCGCACATTCGTATACACACATCTGTGTGTACTATATGTACCCCATATCCAATGCACTGTGTGTGAACGCATTATTTGGCTTTGCTATTTATATGCGCTTGGGATGTTTTATGTGTTGTTGCCATAAAAAATGTTATTTCACCGATTTCTGTGTTAAGAAGGGGCGTTGAAAGGATTAGCTGGAAGAACTTGTGGACACTTCCGAAGGCATTTATGCGCATATATTCAACTTGAATTAGATAAATAACAGAAATAAGTAAAACACCGTAATTTATGCGTGGCTGCAAAGTTGAGCGAAAAGCTTTTTGTCAAATTTATAAATAGTTTGAGATGCGACATTAAGTGGTTTAGAAATCGGTTTGTGTTGTTAAAATAAGAATTACTGTAAACAATTGGATAAATATCTCACCTTGGAGACAACAGCAAAGTTTTTGGTGAATGGATAGGTAAATACACGTGCATCTAGTTCGTAACTAGTCCGATATGGAGTCTACGCATTATTAATAAGTAATTTCAATTGACTTTAATGAATTTTAATAAAATTGAGTATGTAACACATACAAAATTTATATTATATTTTTTTTCAAATTTTCGTAGGGATGTGCTGGAAAATATAATTTATTTCTAGATAATAAAGAATCAGAAAAAGTGTTACCTTCAGTTCCACCGAAACTATAATACCCTTCGCAAATACAAAATAATCTTCACAAGAGCTTTGATTGCAGCTATATGTGTACTATACTGACTCGATTTCGAACAATTTCATTGAAGATTTCATCATTGCTTTGACAATAACCCATTCCAAATCTCGCCTACTAAGAAAGTTTTTTCATTCAATCACTTGTTTGCGATCGCTCAGTTGTTCCCCTTTATATATATATATATTTTATGGGGTCTCCGACGTTTGCTTCTGGGTGTTACAAGCTTAGTAGAAATCTTAATAAGCCAGTTTTGCGCTACAAATTTAATATTTTTTGCTATTTGTACAGCATTTTATAAAAAAAGTGTGTTCACCTTTATCCTTTTTTACATTCATTGAAGCACTGCTGCACCTTCGCTCGGCCGTTGTCTATTCAGAAGACCACTTTATTGCACACAAATAAAACAAGCATCGAAAGTATTATTTGGACACTCTCATATCACTCGAAACACAACTGCTCGCACAATAAATAACGGACTAAGCTCTTGTAATCACAAATTTGAAATCCTTTCATAAGTGCCTTCAGGTTCCAGTGCGCCACACAGACTATAAATTCAGTCACGTTTCGGGCATTTACATAAATAAAATTAAACAAACACAATAAACATGCAACACTCTTTTCTGCTTTTAACGCAAGGTGGAGAGGGGTGACTCCAAGCGGCGGTGGATTCCCACATAAATATTAAAATTGTTTTGTTTTTGTATTGCGCTTTATAGTTTTTGCTTTTGATGGTGGCCAATTTGTTGCTATTTTTTAACAATAAAATGCACAACTGCTATGGCGTCTTTTTCACTGTCACACCGCTTTAATGTAGCGTGTTGCGCGTTTTTGTCTCCCGCGCGCGTTTGCTATGTGATAACTCAGACTTTAGTCGCGTTGAAAAATGTTTTCGAAATCGTTTGGCAAGCGTCGTGTCGCGCGGCGAGTTGACAAATGCAGTTGCCACATTGCGAAGACGCCCTGGGAGCTGTCTGTGCGCGCCCAAGATGGTATCGCCGCTGGGCGAAAGAGCAAATTGCTGGCGGCGTTGTGCTGCCACCGCCTGCGCGTTGCTCGACACCCACCAACGGCAAAGACAACAACCACACACATCCGTTCAGCAAGCAGAGAATGACGTCGACGTGAGTTGCAACTCACTGTAAGCAAGTAGCAGTAGCTGTCGACGGTGAAGATATGCAAAAATGCTGCCTGCCGCTTATTAGGCGTGCATATATATAAAAATACGACGAAATTCCCTTTTAATAGCGCTCATAAACATTCGAATGTGCGTTTTTCGCTTTTTGCGGCTGTGACTTTTTGAATTTGCCGCAGCTAGACGGCAGCAAGACTGACATATGTGTTATGTATGTCGATATATAAGCGCGTGCATGTGCATAAAAAAACTCGGCGTGCTCGATGTTGCACACTCACAACACGCATGCAAAGCAGCTGAAAATATTTTGTTATTGAGTTTATTTTTTTAAGAAACGACAACACAACATCAGCGGTAGTAACATTAACCAGAGGGAGGAAGTCAAAATATTTGAACATTCGAAAAAAGAAAACGGAGTTGCCAACCTTCAGTTGAATTCTTTAGCACGAAATGCTTGAGAGAACTTATTTATTATAGTCCTGTCACCATAAACGAAGTGGGTTAGGTTATGCTAGATGGCTGATCAAGCATTGCACGTGGACTACTATATGTGGCCATAGAAAATAAGAACTCCTGCGAGCATTAGCAAAACGCTTAGGAGCCAATTCAAATTTGCACAGGCGTTTAATTTCGATTCCCGCCAGTTTGGTGGAAAGTCTGGAAGAGTTGAGTTGTTTCTCTCTAATCTTCTTCCAATGGCCACGGGCAATGACCCGTCTAGAGCCCCAAAATCTGGAAAAAGCTGGCCTTACCGGGGGCAAAGAACAAAAGGATTTTGCGGCAGCGAATGTTGTCCAGCGCTGGCCAAGCTTCCGCGAACACAAGAGTATACGGGAGCACCGGATGCTTATTCTTGCTAGCTCACCAGTTTTACAGTTTCCTGCGATTCCGTTCTATACCAGTCTTAGCATAAAGGTTAGGCAGTTGCCTACTATCTGAGGGGACGGTCACTTCTCTGAAGACAACTGCACTCCTGGGCAGTAAATATACTGCAACCTTAATGGCTTCATGCTCGCCCTGAAAGTTACTGCAATAGTCAGGAAGTCTGCATCTGGAGTTGAAAGAGAGATCCAGACATCCAGACCCCTCCATCGAGCTTGCTCCCAAGCTTTGAACCATCCGCAGAGAAGCTCAGTGCCCCTCTCCTCCAACCAAAATTATTTTAAATAAATTTTTGTAAAAGTTTTAGCAATAATTAGTGTTGAAATTTAATAGCGTTTGGAAACATCAATATATAAAAGACAGCTCGAAGAGACTCATTTACGATGGATGAATATTCTCTTAGTTTCCGGTTTTGCTTTGAATGTTATTTGGTTTTATTGACGATCAATGATGAAATAGTTAAAGGAATTAAATTCGGTTCATTGTCAAATACAAGAAATTTATTGCAACCCTATAATATTCGACAAGGTTTCCAAACTACTACCATAAGAATTAACAAACAAAATTAATTTAAATATATTATATATAATTGATACTTAAATATGTTTCAATAGGAATCTGATTTCAAACAGAGCCTAATACTATCAGTCGGCATGGCAATCCTACACATGTTTTCACTCCAGCATCACTGCGTGTGCAAGCACTACTGCGGCAGCGAACTGCAGAGCCGACTTTGGCAAGCGCAACAGCTGCCTCAACAGCATCCAAACTCCCCCACTCAGGATCCCATAATTTGATTTGACTTTGGTCCGAAATACTATCTACTTTTTTGTGATGTGTTGTGGTTTACTTTTTTTGGTGCAATAACTTCGCAGTATTTTGTACGAGCACATTAAAAAGCCACGATTAATACTCGACGACATAAGCGCATGGCGTTGCATGAGGCCAATAGTTGACAAACTAATTAAAATGGAAATTTTCCAGAAATTTTTGAGATTGC